CAGTAGACGTTAGATGAGCGCTGTCGCTCTGCGGCACTTGTTAATTAAATAGAATGAGCACCTATAACATGTTAAACGTGGTCCTAGTAATACTAATAATACAGTGATCGTATAGTTACCTCTTCAACTGTACGATGTACGGGAGCAATAACGTTAACAGACGATTGCACGGTTTGCCGTGCCCTTTTCTTCATAACGGCAGTTACAACAGTTGAAAATGAAGAAAACAATACACCTCGCCTATGTGATGTCTCCTCAAGTAACACAGTAATTTCATCTTCGATAAACTTCCTCTTTATTTTTTTTGATGGGCTCGCCATGTTTACATACAAGAGAGGCGTCAGCTTTGTTGCTATGCTGTGTGTCGCACAGTGTGATTGGTTTCTGCTAGACACACCCATCAACAACCAGCTGCATCGACGACGTAGGGGATTTAACACTGCGATTTATCAATATTTGCGTACGTAGGTGCTACGATGCGTTGATGAATAATTGCACCTACGGGCTTTGCGTACGTACTTCGTAGAACCTTCGCGTACACAATCGACTTTTCGCAACGTTGATGAATCCGGCCCCAGGTGTCCCAGGAAGTTACCGCTGGTATAAAACAAATGGCACTTCGCTGGTTTTAGTTTCAGATGCGCTGCTTGCAGCCGGGTGAATACCATCGTAAGGTTGTCAAGGGCTTCCTGGAAGTTTTTCCCAAAAATTATGTCGTCCAAGTATACCAGACAATGCTTCCCCTGTATCTCTTTTATAACTTCTTCCATGAGTCGTTCGAAGGTCGCTGGTGCATTCAACAAGCCAAACGGCATGAACATGAAACGTAAAATTGGTCATGTTGGTAGTCATAATTTATCTGCCCCTATTCCTAGTACATCATCAGTGTCCAAAAATAAAAATATACGTCCTTTAAAAATTTGACGTAATAATTCCTGTGCAGAAAATAACAAAAGCAAACCCACAAGAAACAAGCAAAATATGCCAAATGTCATCAGAAGTCTCTTAAATCTGAAAAATCAACAAATATATGTTTCCGTTGTCGTAGGGAGTATGGAGACTTGCGTGACCCGAAAATAAAAGATGATTGGGTCCGTTGCTTTAAATGCAAGGACTGGTTCCATATTTCCTGTGGCGAGGCATTTGGCATACTTGACGATGCATATGTACTAACTTGCACAACTTGTTTGTGCTAACTGCATTCGTATTGCTGTTAATTGCCATAAGAAACCGGCCATATACGAAATGAGATTATAGCTAATTTCATTGATATTGTTGAATTGCCAATAAGTGCAAATGTTGTTAAAAATGCGAATCTAATTACATTGCTGTATAACAAATTGATGAAGAAATATCATTTGTTTATTTAGCGTTTGCTTTGTTCTTGTTTTCAGTATATAATTTCTCATATGAGGATTGTGACGGAATTTTTTGTAAATGAAATTCCATCACAATTACAAAATGTAATTCCATCACATGTTTGCTGGAATGTTGCTATTTTGTTTTTGGATTGTTTCAAATAAATTGTTATTATTTCAAATCTCTTATTTGTACACTCTTTGAATTACTTTATATGATCAAGCAAAACTATGCGATTTTGAAGGAATTCTGGAGTAATTAGAAGCGTTAAATCACTTGGTCACTCGCATGAAATTCCGTCACGGGGGTTTAATCCATTATAGGACATACAATTATTATGGTAATATTAAATATGTAGCGTCAAAACATAGAGGAAGGTCACAGCTACATATACGTATATAAACCGTAGGACTTTGTAACTGAAACAGGCGTGATCACAGGCGTGAAACGGACAGGTCATGTCATATATGAAATTCCGTCACGCTGGCTTCCAT